CAGCTACACCATCCGATATGAAACGAAAACGAGATGAGATGAATGAGAGCAGTCAAGAGGATGTAGATGCAAATACTAATGATATAAACAGTCAGCTGGGTGATAATCTATTTGATGACATATAAACCTTTTAAATAAAAGTAGCTGCTCTCTGTCAGAGACAGATATAAAGCAAGAAATGGATAAAAGAACAAATTTTATAGTTTTATCCAAAAGAAAGATTCAAAAGACTCACTATGCAGTTAATGTTTATTCTGGGAACCTCCCAGATTAAAAGGTTAACAATTTTGAAGGCACCCTTTTCCAGTTTTCCTGGCAGTTTTGAGTACAAGAGTTGTACCCTATGCCAGTATATTTTTTAAAACAAGTACTCTTGATTTTTGAGGTATAAGACTGCCCATATCACAGACGAGCGTATGAAAAGTAGGCGTCTACGCTAGTGTAAAACCGATATGCGTTTTCAGAGAACTTTCTGAATTACTATGACTTTTCTGCTTTATCTTCGGTTCATGGTAGTTAAAGATAATTTCTGTATAGTAAGAAGATGGGTGACCACTTCCCAAGATCGAACCATAAGTATGGTGCTTTTTACATTTATCTCAATGGTTGTTGAGTGAAAGTTACTACTATAGGGAAAACTCGGACTACCGTTTCCTGTGGTCAAAAAACGCAACCTATGGGTATCCTGACCTTTGAGTTCAGCGAAAACAAGGACATCTGTGAGATATACGTGTGAGAATTGTCGCAAAATTTCGTTTTGAAAATGGATTTTTATATGTAAAATCAAAAACATAATTTTGGAAGCTCACTCATTTTTCTGAAAAAACCAATGAGGGTGAAAGTAGACAAATTCCACCACAGTGTTAGAGTATTGATTTTTCTTTCATCAAAATTTTATTCTCCAGCCTAATTTTTTTTACTGTAAACTCAAAAAGGACGAAAGAAAGAAAAAGATTGTCACACCACAAATAAAAGGTAAATGTGCGTCTGTTTATTGACAGTGATATTTTTTTCATGAAAAAGAAAGGGAAACCGCATCCATTGCAGGAAGATTTATGTTATTCACTGATACAGTTTTATCAAAATGGGGACAGCATGTTCTTCGACTTCTTCCGTGACAGTACCATTTAGACCTACGATTTTACCATCGACAGTACGAACTATTGTCTGGTCATGGCAGTCTAACCCTGATCCTTGGAATGAGAAAGAAACAAAGGAATGGAAACGTTATTCAGATTTTGAAAATGAATTTATCGAAGAGAAATATCAAAAGAAGGAAAGTGAAGCGCATCTGGGTAACTATGTGATTGATTTGAAGGAAATGGTACAAATCAAGAAAGATAGTTCAACGTTGCAGCGACCAGTGAAGAGGGAAAAACTATGTGTAACACAGTTTGTGAGAGAAGAACGATTTGCATACGCGGACCAAGCAATTGGATCATTTACAGACGCTTATGATTGGGGATCAAGATTCATTGGGGAATGGAGAAAAAGAAATGAAGTACCATATGTTTCTGGTATATGGTCCGAAATCGTTGAACAGGCTGCAGCAGGTGATAATTTTACACTTTGTTCTCCTTTGGTATATTCTGCGATAGATTCTCTTTTCGATCTTGCAGGTATTTTAAAAGAAGGTAGACAGTTAGACCAAGAATTTGATGCACAACAAATGGCAGAAAAACTTCGACAAATGAAAGACAAATCAGAAGATGAAATTTACGAATGTATTGTTCGTCTTTACTCGGCTGAATCATTCCTTTACAAATTAGTGAACAGAGCACTTCGAAGTGAAGATATGACAAAAGTGGATACATTAGGAGCTTATGCTTGTCTGCTAAACCGATATTTTCGTATTTCTTCTGAACCAGAAAAGAGAACTTTGTATCGCGGTGCCACATTAACAAATAAAATGATTGACGAATACGAACAGGCAACTGGAACTATGATAACGTGGCGTGCTTTTACATCAACATCAGAATCGCGTGAATTGGCCGAACAATTTGGAAATACGTTGTTTATTATTCAAGCTAAAGGTTTACTGAATAACCCCTTTAAAGACATATCGTCACTTTCGCATTATCCACATGAACAAGAAGTACTTTTTCCACCGGGACATTGGTATTGGGTTAATAAAGTTGAACGTGCTAAAAAAAACGGAAGACATTTAATTTATCTTTCTAACTAGTAGTTCAGTTTTAAGTTCATGCATCCACACAGTTTTCTGAGCTTTGAGAAAGGTCAAACGGTGTTCAACATCTGCTGTGGAGACTTTTTTTAAATATCTTTATTCTGGAAAATGAAGACACTGGATACAAAACCTTTCTCTTTTGGGGAGTTTTAATACTTCTGTTTAACAAAATAAACATAGAAACTGGAAAAATATTGCCAAGGTAGCATCAAGAGTTTATAGTACGGCTAGTACTACAGAATCTCGACTGTCTTTGATATGTTTCTTCAACAAAAAGATAGTCGTCTTTGCCGACTCCACGTTTATTTTATTGTTATGGTCGTTGACATTAAACTGAAAAATATTGAGTTTGTAGATCATTGTAGAAACTCCGCTCCTGGACAAGGGTGACCGGACTGAATGTCGCAAGACAAAATGTCGCGGACAAAATGTTGCGGGCAAAATGTCGCATGGACAAAATGTCGCAGGACAAAACGTTGCAAGACAAAATATCGCGGACATATCGTTGCGGACAAAATGTCGCGGACAAATGGTTGGAAAAAAAACGTCGCATGGACAAATGGTTGCAAGGACAGAATGTTCAGATGATTTCCGTTCGATATGTACTTTCATTCGAAAGTACCTTCGAATGAAAGTACATATCGAACGGAAATCACGAGCGAGTTTCCGTCAAACTCCTGACCGTTCAAAGATTCGCAGTTCATGAGAATAAAAGAATTTATTATTCTTTGCTATTTTAGCTACATCCACATTTCATTCCACCAGCACAACATCATGTATGTAAACCCTCATAACATCAGAGAAATTTCTCCACACTCTTCTCATTTTAGCATCGACAACTCCACAACCAACTACTGGCGAGGATATTAGTATTGTTCACAGAGAAGCAACTGAATATAAACGAAAGTATAAATATCTCAATCAATGCTTTTTATATTTAGCAATCAATTCAACTGTTTCCACCAGCACAAAAACACGTAAGCTCATTTTGATAGATGAAACGAATTGACCGCCTTCCGCAGCACTAGCTCACTAAACTTGAGTGTCTTTTAGAATTGTTACTGTTTTTTAAACACCGATGACTTTTTGTTCTTGATTTTGATGCGGATACAGTTTATTTCAGTCGGCGCGTAACATGAAAATCCCATCTGAAGGTCAGCAGCACGGATTTTGATAAATCTTAGTCCTTAAGGGTTTTGAACGATGCTCTTCCTAATGGATACCTCTAAATAATTTTAAAAGTGCCTGAAGTAGGGTTGCCAGAAAACCAGGCCTTGCCAACACATCGATTTCCAGAAAATAAATGTTTTAAAGAAACATTTGTCTCGACAAATTAGTTGTTTCATTTAGAAATGAATGCGCTTCATTTTAAAAGAAGGTTTAACGCTCCAACTCATAATCTGAAATTTTTATTTACATTTTAAAATTTGATATTTCAACTTTTTAAAATTGCGCCACCCTCGTTCGCCAGTTAGCCGGAACATTTTCAAGAACATGGTTGGATAGAGCTCGAAACACTCAACATATCTGGACAATTAGTGACTTCCAGAACTGGGATAAAAACAGTTTCTTTACGTAAGATCCGCCGATAACATGGCCGTCCATTATATCTTTAATAAGATCCAGTGGTGTGGTTCCATTAAATCTTGTTTCACTCCCTGAATCGAGAGAACAAGTGAAATTCTGCTTGTCATCTTCTTGGGGAATTAAGTGGAGCGAAGGAAATGTAACATATTTTTCAGTCAACAATATTTCTCTAATTTGTTGTTCGATAGTAAATAGTAAATAAGTCAGAGGTTTCTCAATATAACCTTCATTCAAGGAACAAGTGCCGTCATAACAATTAATCATTGAAGAGGAAGATTTCCACATCGTGGACAAACAGATTGCTTTACCAGTAAATTTGCAATCGATCTGCGTTCAACAAAACGTTTAGCAGCACGCTGGCTTCTTGGACAAAGCTGAACTTTTAACACGTGTAATATTAAACAAAAGTTGTCTATAGCTTGCTGCGAAAATTTATGTCTTGACTTCAGAATGATAAGAGCAAAACAATTAGAAAAAGAAATAAAACTAGCACTTCTCCAGACGAGAAAGATAGTGGCTCTTATCTCAACAATTCGTTTTTTACTGATAACACACAAAAGCTCCTGTTCTGTTTTAGAGCTTCTTTTAAAAACCTGAATTGTTCAAACAAACCAAACCATAACAGAACGAAGCAATAGTTCATGCAGCTATGAATTTATCATTTTATTTTATTTGTCTTGCTCTTCTTCAGCATCTTGTACTTCAGTTTTAACATACAGTATTTGATTTTTTGCGAATCTACACGAACGAAACGGATCATTAATAGCTTCATTAATTTTATATTTTTCATATTGCTCATCACTATGCAATAATCTCACCAAATCTGCATCGTTAATATTAGAATATTGCATTGTGAAGACATTTGAACTGCAATTTTCTTTTTGTAGTGAAATGAGATCTAACTTACCCGGAATATGCTGTCTTCTTTCATCCTTAAAATCATCTTTCGTAATTTCTTGCCGAACATTAACTGGAAATAACTGTCTAACAATTGCGCGTGCAGTAGTGGTGGATTGATGATCTCCTTTCAGCAATTTCAATATTCCCGGAGCGAAACCCAGTAACAGACCATAATTTTCATAAACCTGATCATTTGCCATAGCCGGTGACAGTAAGTTACCAATTTGTATGAAATATTCTCTCGCTTTTTTGCCAGGCCGGGCTAGAAATAGATTATTTACTTGCGCTAGTAGGAAAAGAAGTAACAAGAAAGAAGAAACAAAGATTCTAATGCTTCATCACCAATCAACCTTTTCTGTCTTGTTTCAATCTTCTATTTATTAGAAAGAAGAGAAGAAGCGTGAACTAGCGGTGGTTTTTTTGTTGTTGTTATTACGAAAGATGATTTACAAAGCTCATCAAAAGCTCTTTCAGTTGCATTAGCAGCTAAATTATTTACTGAACAACGTGAATTATTCAGTGCACAAGCTAAAATGTTCATACGTTGACTGTCTTGCGACGGTGGTGATGTTCGTGTGGTATAATTAACAATTTGTGTCGATGAACTCGAGGCTGCCAATGGAACGGTTGTCTCTTTTTGTCCTACGGATTGAAGAAAATGTTTTACTTAAAATATCTATACGCAGCTGATCCATTCATTTACACTTACCTGAAACTTCAGAGGCTGGTTCGTCATTTGCAGCTAAAGTGTCGGGAACCATTTCAAAGATTCTTGTGCTCCTGCACATAGTTTTGTCAATAGTTTTAAATCTTTCTTTTGTTATTAATATCCTTCAACTGACATGTTCTATATTCTTTTGTGTACATCATTCTTACACTTGAAATTTTATAATGGAGAAGTTTCGGGATCAGACTGTTCGCTTTACATTTTTTTGAAAACAAGAGAATTGTATAGAAGCAAGTGATAGTTAAAGTGGGCGGCCGAAAATTCACCTACGTCTTTCTTTTCTGTATACTTACTAGTAGCAAATAGTTCATATGGCTGAAGATTCTATTATTTTCTTTTTCTTTACTGACTTATAGAGAGATATGACTACAAATTTTAGTACGAAAACATAGATATTGAAAAAATAAAAATGAAACGAAGAGAGCGAAGGAAACAAAATGACCTTAACAAATATTCAAACATATTTTTAGAAACTCCTTTTCCTTTACTTTTTCTTTATGAATGTTTTTGAAAAGCTTTCTAGAAATACATATAACGGTACAGAAAGATCGTTTAAAATTAAAAATGCACAGTCTTATTATACACACACAGGCTCTTCGATCTACCCTTTCTGTAAACGAACTTCGCCGTTTTCTATTAACATTATAATATCAGATAGTTGCTGCAATAATTCACCACGCAATTCAACTGCATTGAATACTCATGACAGTGTAGAACCTAAACCGGCATTTAAGCACTAGACACCATTAGCGAGTTTTTCCTTAGAACAATGCAATCAAAGATCTAGTAGATAACTATTACACATGAAAAAAGCAGATCATGTTTTTCACGAACATCCTACCGTTAATGTTATGAAGTAGAACTGTCGTATAAGAAATAGTTTAATTGATTGACGTATTAAACCTCGTGATACAGACGGATAGAAATAGAATTTTACTTTGCGGACTAATATTTTCAGCTTTTCAAAGATTCGTCAATCGATTACGAAATCATTATCCTGATTTGTGATCATCACTTTTTCATTGTAAAATTCATTCTAAAAGTTTGTCTTTTGTTTTAACATTTCGAATCCTCCACATTAGGGAAGCCGTCAAAACTGAACGAATCAATCGGATCAAACGAATCATTCGGATCATTCGTAGAATAATGTAAAGCGCTCCTCTGTGATGTTTGTATAAGAGAGAAAATATATAAAATCTATCTTTTCTTATCCATTTTATTCATTCTTTCCAATAGTTTACTTTATATTAACTCTTATATATAACTAGGCATGCACCAGTCCAATCCGACTGGGGATTGGTAGAATTGGTACCAGTCGGGCTTGTTACCAGTTAGGCTTGGTACCAATCCTACCAATCTCCAGTCAGGATTGGTACCAATCCTACCAATCTCCAGTCAGGATTGGTGCCAATCCTACCAATCTCCAGTCAG